AGAGACCCAGTGCATGAATTTGTGCACCAGTGGGGTCCCTTGGCCTGGCCTCCGGGATCGGGCCAAAACTGGCTCTCTGACATCCCCTGAGGGGTCCCAGATTGCGAGAGGGCGCAGGCAAGGCCGAGGGACCCCATCGGGGCCGGGGAGGGACGTAGAAGTTGGCCAGTTAGGGAGGGACCGTGGGAGGCTCCAGGGCGTGTCCAGATCATCTTGCTCAGTCCGGATCGGCTGGACCCCAGCTGCAAGCTAACCTACCAGTCTGAGCGTCTGCCCCCTCGTGGTCAGTGCATGTCATAGCAAGCGGTTGAGCGGCCTTAGCTTATCATTAGCATATTACACTTTGATTGGTTGAACAGATGACCGGACACTTAGCATATTAGGCTTTTATTATACAGGATATATGTCTACACAATTGCAGTGGCTTCCTAAAATGTTTCTAGGATAATCTGTACCAATCATTTTCAAACTGCAAGCCAAAAAACCCCTTAGTGGTTATAAAATAAATTCAGTGGGTCATGATTGTCTTTTTTATTTTTTTAATGATATGGAATGGAATATATCAGAGGGTCTTAAGTGCATGTGGCCCAGGTGATTATAGTTTTACAAAACTTTTGTTTAAGTTACATAGGCACATACACATACAGATATTTGTGGCATGGGTGGTAATGTCAAATGTATTTCTTAATGTGACTTACATTCAAAAAAGTTTGAGTCAAAACCTACCTTTGAAGATGGTCATTTTCTGTTCAAGAACCTCCAAAAGCCTGCCATTGCTTGCTGAATTAGAAAAAAAAACAACTATATTCCTTAATCTGCTAAATCAGGACACTGATTTCACAACCTGTCTCAGCTCTTCCATAAGGGTGTTTGCTACCCCATGAATATAATTTATCTACTGAGCCAATTTAGTTTTTTGGGTTTTGTTTTCCTAGAAGGGGTGAGATAGATTGGTGCTGATCTGAAATACTTTTTCATTTGATCATTGAGGGCTTACATTGGCAAGGGGTGAGAGGTATAGCCATTATAAAATGAAAAAAGCCAACTGGGTCATTTTGTGATAATAAAGCTAAGGCTGGTGTTCTCCTATCTTCTAACCAGCTAGACGAATTGTCATGAACTGCAGGTGTTGCTTTGCTCTGTTTCCTGCTCAAGAAAAATCTGTTGAAGTTCAAATATATTAATAGTTGAAAGTCACCATTTTCCTTATTCCTTTTTGTTGTCTTTTCAGATGTGCTATACTTATGTTCCAAAGAGAATTTGCTCTCAGACTGGTTGCAAAACCTGGAGATAAGTTATACTGCAGACTCTCAATTAATACACAGCTGTTAGCCCGTGTGGACCATTTAATGAAAGTAAGTGACTATTATTGAACTAATGTGACTTAACTCATCCTCTGGTATCTAGCTGTGCTGTCTGTGAGGAGAGCATATTTGATTACTAATTTAGTTATTTTTGAGATGACTACTGAAACATTTTCTGATTAACAGGTTGGAAAGAATAACTTCAGACCACCACCCAAGGTGGAATCCAGTGTTGTAAGAATAGAACCTAAGAATCCGCCACCACCTATCAATTTTCAGGTGAGGTTAAAATGCTAGGTCATTCGGTGAAGGAAAAAAAATGTCCAAGCTGGGAGATCTGTGTCTGTAACAGCAGAAAAATACTGAGTCAACCTAAATGTCCTAATAGGAAAATGTTAATTATGATACATCCTTTGACAGAGTAGATGGAATAATTTGACAAAGATAGTTGTGAAGACCACAAAAGCACATGGAAAATGTTCACAAAATGTAAAAAGATTAGAATCCCATTTTATTTTGTTGAGGATTATAGGTATAGAAAACTTTCTATTTGAGTAAGACTTGGAAAACAAGATGAGGTGAATATAGTTGTTAGAATAATATTATGTATGGGAAACACCTTTTAATCAAAATTCTTATTTTTGTGATTTAAAAGGGAAGGAAACCAGATCCCTTGATATAAAACCTTACTGCAACCACTTTGGATAAAAACATGCTTGTGTGGTCAATAACTGGTGGTAAATGGAGTGGCTTATCAATCTCTTGGATGATTAGTGACTTTGAACATGTTTTCATATGTCTCTTGGCCTTCCTTATGTCCTCTTTCGAAAAGTATTTATTTAGGTCCGTTGCCCATTTTTTGATTGGGTTATCTTCCTTTTGTTAAGTTGTATGAGTTCCCTGTAAATGTTGGACACTAAATCCTTATTGGAGATAACATTGGCAAATATGTTCTTCCATGCAGTGGGCTTTCTTGTTGTTTTGTTGATGGTTTCTTTTGTTGTGCCAGAAGCTTTTTATTTTGATGTAGTCCCATTTGTTTATTTTATCTTTAGTTTCCAGTTACCCTAGGAGCTGTATCGGTGAAGATATTGCTTCAGCATGTCTGAGATTTTGCTGCCTGTGGATTCCTCTAAGATTTTTATGGTTTCCTGTCTTACGTTTCAGTCCTTTATTCATTTTGAGGGCGCTGCAGCGATCCAGGGGGGGCGGTGATGGCCACAGGTGCATTTGTTTTAACTTTTTTTGTATTACCTTTCTATTCTGAGTTCAATAAATAGTTTCATAATTTCAAACTTCAATGTTTCTAATTTACACCTTTCTTTACTATATTTTACGAAAAAGGTAGAAACATTAATACATATATCTTTCTGTTTAATTGCTATTAAAATTTTAAAAAAAATTAATTTCCAGGGGGCGCTGAGTAATATTTTTTCTGGAAAGGGGGCAGTAGGCCAAATAAGTTTGGGAACCACTGGTGTAAGTGGTCTAATTTGTGTATGGTGTAAGTGGTCTAGTTTTATTTTTTTGCATGTATCCGTGAATCATGTTTTTTTGAAAATGACAGATGGCATATGACACTTTAGGTGCCAAAATACTATATTGTTCTTTGTTCAGATGTGGAATAATGTATTTTTTGGAATTGAGGTTAAAACATTCAGTGAGGTGTACAGAAGTTAAAAAAAAGTATACATCTTACTTTTGCATGTGTCAGCCACATCAAGATATAGAACATTTTCATCACTCCAAAAGGTTCGTTCCAGGTTTATATGTTAGGAGACACAATAATACCTAGCAGGCCTAGAAAAGAAGTTTGACATTTTGTAAGAAAATATTCATCTTTTCTTTCAGGAATGGGATGGCCTAGTAAGGATCACCTTTGTTAGGAAAAACAAGACACTGTCTGCTGCATTTAAGTAAGTATTTTACTGATTTATAATGTATGAAGGACCAATGCTCCAGACACTGGGCTAACTGCTAGAATTTTGTCCTTTTCCTGAACATGTATATCCTAAGCATAATGACTGCCCATGTCCAGACACACTTTACCTTTTTAACTGACTTTGTACTTTGGGAGGCAGAAGAATTTAATGAAGAAAGTTCCTAGAGTTGGGAATTAGATCAGGTTTATTGGCAATACGGGGAAAAAACAAAAACTGACTACATATCTCCCTACTTTTTCCTTGGAAAAATAGTGATGAGGGACCCCTTCCACATTTGTGTAAGATTCATTTAATTTTATTTACTTGGAAAAATGTAATAGCATTTTGGGGTACAAGAGAGGTGAAAGGTTTAATTGTATATATCTATATCTATCTATATCTATATCTATCTATCTATCTATATATATTTTTAATATATTAATTTCAGAGAGGGAGAGAAACATCAGTGATGAGAGAGAATCGATTGGCTGCCTCCTGCACACCCCCCACTGGGGATCAAGCCCAAAGCCCCTGGCATGTACCCTGACTGGGAATCGAACCGTGACCTCCTGGTTCACAGGTTGATACTCAACTACTGAGCAACATCAGCCTGGCTAGATTTTCTTTTTTTTAGGTGATGTTTTGTGGAGAGTCTGGAATTCCCTTAACATGTTAAGCGCCATGTCAGTCACCAGTTATTGAAATGGAAAGGAAGACAAAACAGGCTTGGCGCTTAATGTGTTAAGAATTGGAGATGTTTATTAGGACTTTACTTTTTAAATATAACTATGTAGTTTGTGGTTGTTTCATAAGTTTTAAGTATTCAATACCTTTTTTAGTTTCTTAATTTCACCATGTGAAACATTTTTTATCTGATAATAAAAGGAAATTATTGATAATCTCTAATTTTGGAATAATAATACTAATGTCATTTATGCTACAGGTCAAGTGCAGTACAGCAGTTATTGGAAAAAAACTACAGAATTCACTGTTCGGTCCATAATACTGTAAGCAGAAAATGTTTGTGATTTCAATTTGTTGTGTTTTAAAATATCCCTCTATTTCTTATTCCTTTCCATCAAGATTCTTTAATTTTGTACATTCCATAAGATCCTTAAAAGATCACAAGCAATGTATAACTACCACAACTTTAACAAGTCAGTGCTCATGTATATTTTGTGGAACAGATCTGAGAAATCTGTTACTTCACTGTATCTTCTTTAATTACTGATAGCTGTTTCAGCCATAGATTCACCTGAGTCATAATTTCCTCAAAGGTGTAGGCATGTGCAGTTTGCTCAGCTTAAAATAATTGTGACCATCCCTTCTTGTCTGTTGCTCATATAGCAATTATAAATTTTAAATGTCAATACCTAGAAATTGATTAGGATAAAGTAGACTGAATAGCAGATTTCTGGTTGTGAGCCTCATGCCTCTTAATCATTATCTGTGCAACATTTTCTTTAAGCAATTTTGTGTCTGTGAGCACACATAAACATCTATATATAAAAGCCAAGCGACTAGAATGACTGGTCACTATGACGTGCACTGTGGCTGTCCAACCGGCCTGATGGGGACGGGGCTGGCCAGCCAACTTCCTGCGGCCCCTCCCCCCTGCTGGCTAGCCTCGATTGGCCTGTTAGGGGCGAGCCGGCCAGACCCCACCCATGCACAAATTCGTGCACTGGGCCCCTAGTGTCCATATATAATGACTATTTATTTATTAGTTCTTTCAAATTAATTAAACAGGACAGAAAAAAGCAAATTCCCGTTCTATTTTTGGACTCCTATGGCTTAAGGTATCACATTGCTACCTCCATTTTCTTTTATAGACAAAATCATTAAACATTGCTTAAGAAAATATTAAGCTGGATTAAGAAAAATCTTTGGATAAAATATGTAAAGTCTGATATATTTAATATTTCTTAAGGGTTGGAGGCCATCTCTTAGAGAAAAATTAAGCTGGAAAAATGAGATTGGTGCCAAGAAAATGTGAGTTGTTTTAAAAAGAGTAACAATTGCTTTAAAATTTAGTTTCAGCTCCAATTATTTTGTTATGAAAAGCTGAAACTGATAGAATTTTTTAAAAAGAGGACAATATTCTTGATTCATTCATCGGAGGACTTCCGAGTATTTGGTATGTGCTAAAGATTAATCACTTAGAGAGATGCAAGTAATGGACAGATGGTAACTATTTTATGACTTACTGAACTAAAAAGAAATAGAGTCAAGGTGACTTCATTAAAGATATGTTGTTCATTTATTCTGAATCTTGATAGATAATACCAGAAGATTTCAGCATAGCAGATAAAATACAGCAAATCCTAACCAGCACAGGTTTTAGTGACAAGCGGGCCCGTTCCATGGACATAGATGACTTCATCAGGTAATTACATTTTTCTTTTCCTAAGTGTTTACATTTCTTTACTGTGACACCTTAAGATTAGAGATTTAAAGGCTTTTAAGCGGTGTAAAGTGCTACCTGGGAGTTATTGCATAGCACTTCCAAGGCATAGAATGGTATTTAGTGTAGAAGATGGAGGCTAGTTAGCTGCAGCAGAATGAACATTTTAAGAACAGGAGTAAATAACAGTCCTAGCCAGAGATGCCTCTGTCAGTGTGTTGTGGTGTGTATGCTCCTCCCCTTTAACTACCTTCTCTAACTCCCTATTCATAACCTACTGTGCGCGGAAGAACCCTAAGACATGTAGTTGGATCTCACTTTTTTCTTTCCTTTTTTTAAAAAATATATTTCTTAATTGATTTCAGAGAGGAAGAGAGAGGGAGAGATAGAAACATCAATGATGAGTGAGAATTATTGATTGGCTGCCTTCTGCATGCCTCCTACTGGGGAACGAGCCTGCAACCAGGCATGTGCCCTTGACTGGAATCGAACCTGGGAACCTTTAGTCCCCAGGCCAATGCTCTTTCCACTGAGCCAAACTGGCTAGGGCTCTCACTTTTTTCTTTATTGGGCATAGCTATTGTTAAATAGACCCTAAGCATGAAATAGTTTGTTACAATCATATCTGGGCAATGTACACCAAAATTTATTTTCCTTGAATTATACAAGTCTCGTGAAAATAGAGTAAGGCTTCAGTTACCCAGGTAATTATTAACCTGTACTCACTGTTTTTAATCACTAACACTTTGGTTTCCTCATAAACCATCACTTAATATAGAAATTTTTGCCTCTTTAGCTAATTCATTTTTAAAGCTTCGATGGTCTAGGGCCGTGGTCGGCAAACTGAGGCTCGTGAGCCACATGCGGCTCTTTGGCCTCGAGTGTGGCTCTTCCACAAAATACCACGTGCAGGCGTGCACGTACAGTGCAATTGAAACTTCGTGGCCCATGGGCAGAAGTCAGTATTTTGTGGAAGAGCTGGTATTTTGTGGAAAAGCCACACTCAAGGGGCCAAAGAGCCGCATGTGGCTCGCGAGCCGCGGTTTGCCGAGCACTGGTCTAGGGGCCGAATAAAAAAAAACAAGGGTAGATGGTTACAAAAGTCATTGGTTTGACTTTTCTAAGCTGGAAACACAGTTCTATATAACTAAGACAAGTAGGGTTTACATTTTATATTGGCAGGTTAGTAATACTACTGAGTCTTTATTCAATGTTAATCCTAGAAGTTAAATATTACTCATAAATACCTAGCTTCCTTTTTTAGACATTCTAACCCATCTTGACCTGTTCCTACAAGCCATCCTATAACTAATCTCCGGTCTAAATAGAAATATTTCCTTATTTTCTTTCATTCTCACCAAATTTCTTCCAGTCTTCTTAATCACTTACCATGTTGAAACCATTGCTAATGAGCTCTTAGGTCTGGGATAGTAGATACTTTTAGTCAAATTCATAATTTAAGACATACAGGCTATGACAAAAAGATGTATTAAAAAGATGGGTCTTATACATTTAGTTGGCGAATGTTTCTTTAATGACTAGTGTTCCAAGTGGGTGGGCTTCATAGGTTTGCTGATGTGTTCATGTTTTAGAATTCACGGTATAGGAACTATATGCACTGATTGTTATGTGCTACAGATTAGTTTTTTAATACCATCTCACTTTGGCTCTTTTCAGATTGTTACATGGATTCAATGCAGAAGGTATCCATTTTTCTTAGGTATCTGGAAAACAGAATTTTCAAACTCAAGAAAAGAAATTTGAATTATATATTTTTAATAATTTGAGAAGATATGTATGCTTTTCCTCCACTGGGACACTGTGCTTGACTATTTTTGATTTAATGTTACTATTACTAGTAATTAGTCCAAATTTCTAAGGTACTTATATAAGTTCCCAAGGTTTTTTTTTCGGTTTGTTTTTAATATTTAACACAGGCCAGGTTCTAGTCTATACATGATAATTATCAAGAGCCATAGACACAACTTGACACTTAAACTTCATTTCTAACAGGTTGTTGTATAAAGATGTTACTCTATTTTCTATGTTATATATTACTGTGAAGACCAATTTAGGCCTTCAACTCTTTAGTCCTTTATTCTTCAGGTATAAAGTTAAATATGCTTAACTGAGTCACATATTCCCCATATCATTTATTATTATTCATATGTACAGTAAAACAATTTTCTTATATTTTAATTTTGTTTCTCTCTCTGTTTATCCTATATAACTTCTATCACTGCCTACCTACCCCTTTACTTATCCTGTAACATCACAGTTACATCAGGGTTCTGGGTAAGCTTGAGTCTGCTCCTGAGACCATGTGGTGCCAGACATTACTTCTGGGCATGATTCCTTACCTGTAAAATAAGGATGCTCAACTAGAATGTGAAATGAATTATAAGATTGTATGTTTTTTCTTGGGGAGATAGTAATAGTTTTAACAAAATTTCCAGAGGTTTTAGAAATCAAAACTTCATTTAAAATATCTGCCCATCAAGTTCAAAACAAAACTCAACCAGTAATTTTCCCACAAGAACAGGCTCCCAGTATTCCTCCTATAACTTCTGGATAATGAAAATTTCCAGCACTCTTTTATATACCTGATGCTTAGCTATAATCTATTTAAAATGTAAGGATGATAATTTCAATAGATGTCACAACCATATCTTAATTAGTTACTATGTCTAAATCATTATCAATATTAATTGTTAATGTCCTTTAATAAAGAATTATATATAATAGCTGGTTATTTATATAAGGAAATAAAAATATCTTCATTTTTTATGCCTACCTTAACAGAAGTGTTTCAAATTATTTTAACAAAGGTACACTGAGTAAACCTAGAAAGGAAGTTAATTTGTTTACCTAAACAGATTATTTTTCAAATATGGCTTCAAAATGATATTAAGCATTCCTATATAATGAAAATAATGTATTTTTTGTTACTTATTAATAGGAATATCAGCTTTCAAGTCTGAGAAAGTAAAGAATGTTTAATTCAGATCCAAATTTTTTTTAAATAGCTGTATCAAGCCACTTTTGTTATAAATATTATACTTGGGTAGCTTTTTTTAAATATCAAAAAACTTTACTTTGCAAAATTCACTTGTACTATTTCTATTCTTACAGGAAAATTCTAAGGTTTATTCATTTAGCTTTTCCTCTACACCCTAGTAACTGCTGAGTTTTAGTCCCTTTTCTGGCCCTTAGTTTCCCTATCTGTAAAACTGAAGTACTGGATTATACTACCAAGATCTTTTCTGGTGTACTGATTTTTTATATACCTTGATTACTGATCAGAATGAAGCCATTATAGAATAAAGCAGCACATTTAAATATAAGGGGACCTTCTAGAGATAGTATCCATCTATTTTAAATAAGACTAATCTGTTGTGCTTTACAATAAGAAAACTCAAACCTTTTTATTGTCCTTTGAAGGTTGGTTAGGCTCAAAAACTACCTTTCTAAACAGCCTCTGCAAGGTCAATAGTTCTCCATTCTTCCTCTTCTCTTTGAAATAAACACAAATAGAACATATCTTACAGCTGCAAGAAAAACTGAGTCCCTTCCAAAACAAAGGTGATTACATTGAAGAAAATTATCTCTAAACTCATTCCATAGATTCCATTTATTAATAAGCACATTGTGAAAAATCTACATTTGTTCTAGATTTCAAGTTTACAGAGGAGCATTTCACCATGGTATTCGGATTTCCCACAACTACCCTCTGAGTTGTCTGAAGTGAAGTAGCGAATCTGGCTCATGTGACTCTACTAGTATTCATAGCTTCCCTGTGGCTCAAAGGAATGAGCTATTACTTTCCTAGAGTAAATCAAAACAAGATATCCTTGGGAGATTTTTTGTTGTTAATACACTCCTGGATTCTCCTAGGAGCTGAGGGAAATGTCCTAGAGAGATATATAAATTGTTTAACAAAATATTTACATGAGAAGTAGCCAGTTTTCTTCCTTGGAGTAGCAATCTGTAAAAATAAATGCTACCATTTAAAAAGTAGCACACCCTAGACCAATTTATTGGTGAGAATTTGGTGGTTCTCACCAAATAATGGTGAAACATCATACATTAGGTAATGGACGGAGCTTGGGTTAGATCTGCCTTTTAAAGCAAGGTCAACTCTTGTTAGCTTAATTCACTTTCAAGGGATTTATGTACTGTCTATACTTGGCTTAAACTAACAGTTCTATTATGGACTACTTCCAATGTATTATGTAAATGTTCATGCATCAGAAGCCAATTTCCTTTAACAGTACATTTAAAAGGTACCTTTTGGGATGCTAATGGACACTTCAACATAAGTAATGGTATTGGTAAGGAGCAAATTGCACTATTAGTCTTGTTAATAACGCACTGGAACACACTGCATATATATGTATTATCCTAAGATAAAACTCTTCTCAGAATTCCATTACTTTTTATTATACATCAACTAGTTTATATTTTCTTTACAAAGAAAATGCTAAGAAAATTATATCCACATGTTAAAAGTTTTAAAACCATAATTCCAGATTTCTTTACATATAAGATGGAGTGGTCCAGCAGCTATGTCCACTGTCACAGACTTTAGTTCCATTCAATGATATGGCACATCCTGCAAAATTAACTAGCAACACACAAAAAATGTCTCAAATACAGTAAAAATGTACACACAATAAAGGTAATTTACAATGACAAATAAGGAATGTAATTTAACTTGGCTGTGCATCAGAAATTCAGGGTCAATAGCCTTAGTCAAGGCACAAAGCAGAAAGAGGTGAGCACAGCTGTCCCTAAGAGTGGCACGGTATGTACAATCACAGATGAGGTATGCATGCACACAAAGGATTTAAAACTGCTCAGTCTTGCTACGAAAATTGAACCAAGTTAAAAGGAAATGCTGTGGCTTCCCCCTACTACTCACCCCTGGATCAAGTCCACAATCTTACTTCATCATATAGAAAATAAAATTGGTAAGGCTCTCCAAAAGTAAATCACTATTTGGGTAAATGAAACAAAATGCTTCACTATTACCAAATCTTGGTTGTGCCTTCTGGACTAGAAGCATTTTGTAGACAAAGTTGTGTTTCACAAAACTGAAATGTCATTCAGGTGAAGGGACAAGACATTTTCCACAGACACTTAAAATTTCAAACTTCCAAATGGCCCTTACAGCTGAACCTTGTATGTTAAAACAGTGAGGGTTCTGGGGATCCTTTAGCAGCAAATGCCAACTTAAAGGGCACGGGGTCTCTTAGGGTTGATTTGCTTGCTGGCCTGTTCTTCTTCTTGTAGAGCTGCACGAAAAGATTTCACTTTATCTTGGAAAAAGAAAAGAACAGGGAGTAAGTATTACATCACAGGCAGTATACAACTTCATGGGTATCAAGTTGGCTCGCTTATTTCGTAATCTTAACTCAAGAGGTTTCCTTTGGTTTTTTTGTTGCCCAAAAACTAAATACAATGCTCAACTATAGAAGCAGTTTCATTATAGATTCCTAGAAATACCTGCTTTTGCTATTGTCAACAGGTTTCTGTTTGGCATTTTTTACAGTGTTCAATTTTAATTTGTACTCCTTTTGGAGTGTAGACAGGCTGTATATGTGTGTAAAATATGTACAGTTATGTCCAAAAGGAACACTATGAATTTTATTAAACTGTAAAGCAGACATTTCTTCTCTCAATGTTAGAAAATTTCTACTCCCAATGACTATTTTATCTTTTTAAGCTATGAATTTGAAGAAAGAAATAGTGGCTAGGGAAGGGGATTAAGGGGTTATGCATTTCTTGGTCTTAAAATTCTATTACCCGTCTACCATATACTGACTCAGAGTCATTTAAGAATAAAAAATAGGTAAGTAAATTTGCAGAGGCATCTTCCTTATAACAATGGTTCTCAAGCAGGGTGATTTTATTTTTATATATTTTATTGATTTTTTACAGAGAGGAAGGGAGAGAGATAGAGAGTTAGAAACATCGATGAGAGAGAAACATCGATCAGCTGCCTCCTGCACACCTCCTACTGGGGATGTGCCTGCAACCAAGGTACATGCCCTTGACCGGAATCGAACCTAGGACCCTTCAGTCCCCAGGCCGACGCTCTATCCACTGAGCCAAACCGGTTAGGGCAACCAGGGTGATTTTAGCCCCACCCTCCTACTCTGGGGACATCTGATAATTCCTACAGAAATTTTTGATTGCCACAACTGGAGTAGTGCTACTGTCATCTAGTCTGGAGACCAGGATGCTGGTAAGCACTGTGCAATGCACAGGACAGCACCCCTCAACAGAATTATCCAACTTAAAATAGTCTTCAGAAGAAAAGGAAGCTGCAAATTTCTTTCCTTCAGAAATACAATGATGTTTTTAAAAAGCTGACTTTTCTAAAATTTAGACAGAAAATTAAGGATTTCTGGATCTGTTGGCTGCTAATATAATAGCTCTTAAACTTCTTAATACCAAAATTATGCCTGGACGATAAAACATTTCTAAGAAAAAACTGAATAATACATAACTAGATAGTAATTTCTTAAAAGTTATAGATATGCTTTATAAACATGAATGAGAGAATTAAGGGAAAGAAGTCAACTAAGTTAAAAGCTACATATAAACAGAAAAAAAACCTCGAATGCATTATGCTCTATCTTCTGAATAAAATGCATATAGAAAAGCTCCTTATGAATTATGGAAGATTAGAAAAATGGTCAAAACACTTTAAATCAAGGCGTGAACATGAAGAGTATGAAAAACAAAAGTAAATTTTAGAAACCCTACATTTGCACAACTAAGGTTGGGGAAATGCTGACTCCATCTATATATATAAAAGCCTCAGCGATCGTTAGGACTGAACAACTAGAAAGACAGGCTGACCAGTCACTATGACACGCAATGACCACCAGGGGCAGATGCTCAACGCAGGAGCTGCCCCCTGGTGGTCAGTGCGCTCCCACAGCCAACCTCCCGTGGACAGCCAACTGCCTGTGGTCCCTCTCCCCAGCCGCTGGCCCCCATCGGCCCCTGGTGCTAAACCATTCGTAGACGACCTACTTTGGGGTCAGGGTTTCTTATGTAGCAGAGCAGCCCCCTTGCTGCGACCTATTAAGAGTCAGCCCTCGACACAAGGGTTTGTCTCACTCTTGTCCTCTCCCTTCCCAGGGGGCCCACCCGCCGCGGTTGCATGGCGGCAAGGCGGGGTGGGGGGGGAGGTAGGGAACTGTGGGGTGGTGATGGGGCCTATGGGCCCTGGGCTGGGACAGGGAACTGGGGGTTGGTGGTGGTGGGCATGGTCCCTTTCCCAGGGGGGCCAAGGGCTGGCTCCAGCAGGCCAGGCCTAGGGAACCCACCCATGTTCGAATTTGTGCACCGGGCCTCTTGTAGGATATGATGTCAAATAACCAACTTCACAAAGGACCTATTTTTAAAAATTAAGCAGCTTATTTGGTGCTAAAAACTAGCAATTTCAATCTGATTTTATATTGCACTGCATGTACACACTGATGCCCACTCAGATATAAATGGAGACAGCGAATTTGCCAATGCCTAAAAACCTAGCACATACAGTAAATAAATGCATATATGAAGCTGCAGATAAGCTAATTAAAAAGCCAAGCAGACATTACATGTGAATAAGCCACATACTTCTAGAAATCTTCCTCTTTTTCAAAACAAGTGTTCAAAGGAAAAACATGACATAAGATGCATAGAAGATGTAGATAGGTGGCTATAGAAAGATGACCCTGAATAGATCTAATCCAAGGAAAACAATTCTGAAAAGCACTGGCCTACCAAACTAAAATGACTAATGGGTCTATAAAATTTACAAATTTCTTAAAATACATTTTCCCTCTAATCTTATTTTCTCAAAAGACTGAAAGAAAAAAGACTAGAGAGCACTTGAAATGGTACTCCATGTTTCTTTTTCAAAAAACAGAATGGTTGGTGTGCCTATATACCTCTAAAAAGATGTTAAGTGTTGCCCATAATTTTCACTTCAGATGCTCTCTTGCAATTAAGCAGATTTCAAACATTAAAATGAAAAAAGAATTACCCCGCAGCTCAGTTAAAATGTCTATTTTTTGCTCAAGAATAGCTTCAAGTTGTGTAGCATATGAATCTACATCATAGTCTACTTCTTCAGTCATCTCTAGAAGAGCCTTTTCATCTTCTAACCATCGAATAGATTCCTAAAAGGACAAAAATTCCATTAATCCAGTAAGCCTCTTTGTAAGACAGAAACTAATTTACAAATTTTACATATGTTAAATATCATCAAACACACTCAAGATGGTATTCTCTAAAATATTACCATAAAACATCTTTATATACAGAGTAACATTAAGAATATTTCTAGTGGGGATAAGGACACATATGTAATAACTTAATCAATAAAAAAATTTTAAAAAAAATTTCTAGATTCAAATACAAATATGATAGACAAAGTAAGATGGCTTCATTTTTCTACTTTTATTCTACCTTGTATGTGTATGTGTGTGTTTTTTTCTTTGTTTTTTTTGGGGGGGGGTGGTGGTGAGAGGATGGAATGGAATGAATCAAACACGTAAATATCAATGAGTAGAGTAAGTCTCAAAACCTCAATAGCTATCCCTAAAACAGGGAAAAAATGGATGTAAGAAAGCTAATGAGCAATCTAATGACATCTATGGTAGCCTAGAACTTGTAAATCATCTGGAATTAACATATACATTGGGGCCTCACAGTTGGGCCAAAGAGGTAGCTCTAAATTCAAAACACTAGTTTTTCAAATTATTGTGACTCTAAGAACCAATGGATAGCCACTCTTAGAAGAGTCAAATGAACTACTAAATAGTAGTTATTCACCATTCATAAATACTTCAAGGAAACCCCTCATTCTTAACTGATTTTAGATATGTGGAATTTATGAGTTTATCTTCTAGCAATGTCATGAATCATAAGAATTTATAACACTATCAGATCTTCCAAATTAGAATTTTTGGATATAAAAAAGGATACTTTCTAGATTGTTAGAGTACACATAATTTCAATTTTCCAAATATCAATGCAATTTAATGGCTAATTATAACTAGACTATGTGTCACCAGGCAGAACTGGTTAACCTAGATATAGTTAACTATTAGAAAACTGTATATGTGTCAATTAAGACACACACCCCAGTATTTGTTTTTCCTTCAGCTATATACTTAATTTTTAAAAAACAAAACCTTATTTTGAGAAATGACAGATCACAGTATAAAGGGACAATAAATGGAATTATAAAAATATTGGCTTGAAAGTCAGAACACACAGTTCTGCCAATAAATCAAATAAACTTTTAGAATTCAACATAAAGTGGCACAATGGGAAATGGTTTTTATGGGACACCTTGCTCCAAAAGGGCACAATTTTCTTAGAATTACAAGGGTCCTTTCTTAATTAAATCTAAACACATAGACCTCTACAGATTCTTATGATAAAGGTTTGACTAAAACTGTAACAGTTTTAATAATGTATAACCTGTTCTAAAATTATAAAGTTTTATATTTTTGAGCCCTTCATCCAGGCACTTGAATGGCCTAGAAAGGAACATTAATACTTGTTTAGAGAAGATTTCTTCAACATCAGAGAAGGAATACAGGTCGATAGGGAGACACTAAGCTATTGTTCACTTTTTCTCAGAAGGTATTTATAGTACTCCAGAAAGGCAGGGTGAGGTTGGGGTGGGGAAGGCAAGCTGACTATACAGTCTTCCATAATGATATGAAATGTTCTCTTCACTTTCCCATCACCTCCTCATAGGTATCATCTGCAAGGCTATTTTCTAGTTTAAAGGGGTGGGGGGAGGCAAAGGATGATCATACAGTAAAAGTGTTTGTAAAAGGTTGAACACACAGTGAAATGAATACTGTACCTAAGAATCTACTGCCACCCCTCACTCATCTGCCACTGACAGCTGTCAGAGCAGTTACTGTCCCTCCCTGAAGCCTTCCTTTCTACGAAGACTGACACCTCCTCAACTGCTCTGATAATCTTTAGAAGAATTTTTTCCTTACTGCTGTCCTGACATGAAGACACTCCAATATACTCACCTAACATGAAAAAAAGGGGTATTGGAGGGCAGAAGTTCAATCCTTCTCTAAAAATGGACAACTGACAAAAGCAAATAAAATGGGAGAATGGTAGTAAATAAACTAGATCTTTAAAGAAAGGTTATTTGTAACCACTGTTCAAATTTTGTATTCAAAATTTGCCCTATCATATGTGCTACAAATATATATATATCTGCATACACACAAACAAGTATTTTTTTTTTAGATTTCTGTGAGAGTCAAAAATTTAGTTAGAGTTTTTAGTTAATTTCTCTAAAGAAACATTTTGATGAAAGGTCCTGTCTTACTTTACCTGGAACACTGCCCTGTGATCTTCTACAACTTGTTCTTCCATTTCTACCATTTGTGAGACAGCTTCGTGGAAAGTAAACAATTGTGGAGAAACCTCTTCTTCCTTAAAATAAAAAGTTTAAAAATTATAACAGAGTTTATATTTTTAAATGTAACTTAAAAAGCAGTTTTTCTATGTCATTTATAAAAATGTATTCAGAAACAGAGGAAAACTCCTAAAATATACCATAAAAAGCAAAGCCACAATTCCTGTTTTTAAAATTTTTAATATATTTTTATTGATTTCAGAGAGGAAGGAAGGAGATAGAAACGTCAATGATGAGAGAGAATCATTGATCGGCTGCCACCTGCACACCCCCTACTGTGGATCGAGCCTGAAACCCAGGAATGTGCCCTTAAGCAGAATAGAACCATGGACCTTTTAGTCCGCAGGCTGACACTCAATCCACTGAGCCAAACTGGCTAGGGCCAAAATTTCTTTTTATGGGTAAAAATACTTAATGTAACACTCAAAAAGACATCCCAAAATTAAGTATATCAGTAAAGGATAATTTTCACTGAGTCCAGGCACTTTAATGAAAAATTACAGCCCCCCCACCCCAAGCAATCACTTTTGGAATAGCACAACTTTTCAAAAATCTTTATTGCAGACTATAAATATACTGAAATATTTCCTCAGTATTGTTTAATTTTCACTAACAATTTAAGTCATGTCTTTAAATTTCTTTTCACCAAAAGAGAGATATATAATGTTTTTCATGACTGTGACTATCAAATTGGTATTCTGAAGGTCTCAATTCTTAAAAAACAAAAAAAATCAACCCTGTCAAAATGCTATCATTTGTTAAATCTGATTGCTTTCTGTATGTTTGAAATGTTTAGTAACATTTCATAATTTAAAAATTTGATTTCCCAGTTATTCAGAAAAAAATATTATAAAAATATGTGCCCACTGCCCTAGCCAGTTTGGCTCACTGGATAGAGCATTGGCCTGGGGACTGAAGGGTCCCAGGTTCGATTCCGGTCAAGGGCATGTACCTTGGTTGCGGGCACATTCCCAGTAGGGGGTGTGCAGGAGGCAGCTGATGGATGTTTCTCTCTCATCGATGTTTCTAGCTCTCTCTCTCTCTCCCTTCCTCTCTGTAAAAAATCAAGAAAATATCTTTAAAAAACAAAATGTGCCCAATGTATAAAGACAAAAGTGTAAAGAAGTAAAAAGACACAAAAAATACCCATTTTCACATAGTTACTTTAATATATTGAGGGATTCCTTACTGTTTGTGAGATATAAAAGTTATTTATATAGTTGTTTAACTTCACTTTTTAAATGTATAATTCATACCTTTTTTAAAACTATATTTTAAAAAAATATTTTTACTGATTTCAAAAAGGAAGGAAGGAGAGACAGAAACATCAATGATGAGAATCATTGATTGCTGCCTCCTGCATAGCTCCAACAGGGACCAAGCCCGCAACCTGTGCATGTACTCTAACAGGAAATTGAACTGTGTCCTGGTTCATAGGTCTATGGTCAATCACTGACCCACACCGGCTGGGCACCAGGTTTGATTTTTGCTCATGCATCCTTTTAATACATACTCATTTAACCATAGTTAATTTTGTTTTTAAGCTTTATATATGTTATAATGTAAGTATAATTCTTAAACTTATTTTTCCCTATGTTACTTTAAAAATTCCCAAATTTTAATAACAGTATAAAATCCGAGAAAAATAAAGTGTAGATCAGAGGTCAGCAAACTTTCTTAAAGGGCCAGATAGTACATATTTTGAACTTGTGAGCTATACCATTTTTGTCACTTCTGTTGAGGTAAGAAAGTAGTCAGATAACCCATAAATGAATGAGCATAGCCATGTTTCAATAAAACTTTATTTATAAAAACAGATGGCTGGCTCATAGCCTGTACAGACACACTGTGAAGATACTGCAGGTTCAATTCCAGACCATTTCAATAAAGCGAATATCTCAATAAAGGAAGTCCTAATCTTTTTGCTGGTGAGGGTCTTGTCTTCAATTTATAAAAAATATACCATCTGAGAAGTGTAATAAAGTGAAGCACAATAAATTAAGTATGCCTATAGTTTGCTGATTGCGACGCTCTATCCACTGAGCCAAACCGGTTTGGCCTGATTCCTAATTTAGATTGCAATTATCAAGTTCTGCTACTGATGAAATGAACTAAGATTAGATAATTACAACTATATTAAGTCACTCACATTTTGTTCACAAAGAAGTTTTAGATCATCTCTCTGAGGGGAACTCCCCACACCCCACTGTGCCTCTAAGTCATCAATCTGATTTGGTGGATGGTGCATTATTGGACGAACATCACCAGCAGCAGTTGGATCCACAGTCAGTTCTTTTACCCTGTAAACACATAAGAGGCATCTAAAATTAATAAAGACTTACATAGAAAAAAACAAAATACCAACTTATTCAATATAAAGACAATTCAATTTAACATATTAAGATTGATGATGTCAGTTTTGCAGATCAAATTTACCTGAAGTCTGTGGAAACCCTAAGGAGATGTTTAACCTTACAAAATTTATTTAGGTAACTATACAATTACTTCTAATGTAATTATTGTACATAATAAGTGAGAATTAGCAAAGTATGTGAATCAGTATTTAAAAGTAAGAGACTGCTGTTCAAATTATATGAACAAAAAGATGCTAACAATGGCACTTAGATCAATAAATGAATCTTTGCCAAAATCAGAGAATTTAATACATGTTACAGATTTTTGGTAGTTCTAATGCCCAATTTCACATGTAGCTACATGTGAAATAACCTTATTTTACTGTATACTATAAAATGTAAATTAGTTCCATCATTTAAAAAAAGTTTACCCATTATACTTAAATTTACAGACTTGCATATACTTTTTAAGTCAAGAGGGCCCTTATTTCCTTGCACATAAGGAAATTTACAATAGCATACAGAATAAAGGTAAACTTTTCATTTTAAACAAGACAGTTCATTTTTAATGGTAGATGTGCAAAGATGACATCACCCTTAAAAATATGAGGCAAAATAAGAAGCCTGAATTCTAAATCAACATTTTAAAGCAAATAAATTAATAAAGTACATGGAAATAAAGATCATGCAGTTACAACCACCACCTGCCAAACAAAATGAAAAATAAAATGGCTCAGGACAAAATAAATGTAAATGAAATATTTATACATAGCACAATTCAAAAGAAACTATTAAAATAAATATCTTATGTATAGAATAAACTAGACCTGGTAATCGAAGGAGAAAAGTCGTCATACTCATAAGAAGGAGAGAGATCAGGGCGACTGCCACTACCCTGTGAGAAGGGAATGTCTGATGGACTAATTCCAAACTCCTTTACTCTGCAGCACCAAAAGAGCAACAGATTAAAATAAAATGCTCTTGTAAAGACAGCAATGCATATTTCAAACTTTCATTTAGTATTCAGTTTAATTTGTTTAGCAAAAGATATCAACACTGTAATGACTTAATGCATTAGAATATTTAAAAAATAATCCATTTTAAGATTTAAAAATCCCTCTGTCCTACAGATTCCCTACTACATAGTCCTTCCTTTTCTGGTGTATTTCCCCCTTTTCTCATGACCCTTTCTAGAAGTTCAACTAGACCCTCAATAAATCTGAAATGTCCCTTATTTAACTACATGGCTACTCAATCTAATTTCCTTGTGTAATCAATACCATGAATATTTTGTTTAATAGCATTAATGAGGCCTCAACATTCTTGCAGTCTTTTCAAACTAAACACAAGACAATTAAGTCCTAATGACATCCATTGTTTGTAACAAATTAACTAATTTCTCCTATGCCTATTGAATGGTATCAGCTATGAAGCATCCTTGGTATAAATTGAGAAAATAGTCACTCAAATAATTTTGTGTTTGGTGATTCAGATGAAGAACGCTGGTTGAGAAAAGCCTTTAGTAATGGAATTTAAATTGCTTTTGCTAATGTCTCTAGGTTATATTTAACCAAATTGAGGCTTTTCTGACACAATTTTTGTGATTCCCTATGTTCTTTTTCAGTCAATCCCATTTCACAGTAGTAGGTAATATTTATTAAATACTTCCTATATATCAGGTATTATTAGTAATTTATAGGCATTATATTATTTAATACTTAAGATAATCTTGTGATATTATCGCATTTTACAGATGAGAAATGGCTCAGAGTAATAAAGTATCTTACCCAATGTCATTTAATGAGAATAATCATAATTGAGGTTCTAACTTAGCTTTTACTATAAATCTTATATTAAACACTTCATATACTAACCATATTCTGCTTCTCTCACTATTTATCTTAGGTTGAACTAAATGAAATTACTGTTTTTATAGGTCAAAAGTAATTATTATCAAACTAATAATGTAATGTATATCAAACCAATACATTTCTACCTACAATCATTCTTTGCTATCGGTAATGTCTATACCAAAGATTCAATACTGGATTCATCTGCCTTTTATCCTTTACAGTCACTTTGGAAAGCTTATTTACTACACCTGCTGACAAATCTAGATTTCTAATACTACTTGACTCTTTTTACTCCCAACCCCATTTCTTATTATCTTAAGAATCTCCTAATTTAGATACCCTAAACACACTTTTCCTCTTGCTCAACCTAAACACTATTAAATGCAGCAATTATTTATCTCTCTCCAATGAGAACTATCAAGGGAGGTTGAAAAATCTTTATTCACAGCGATTTGGAAATAAGAGGCAGAATTCTTTGTCTCAGCTGGTTAGTCATGTTGCAAATGAATTACATTACATTATAATAAATTAAAACATTTTACTTGAACCCAAATAAACTAGAGCAATGGCCAGACAGGGCATTTTCACATTAGGGGGATTCTTTTATAGCCAGAAGTCTGAACACACAGAGGGTTTTTATTTATTTTAATTATACAACATGGCAATATTCTACTATACAAAGCCATTCCTCATCTCTCCCACAAACAATTTTGAAATAAGAGGCATTTTAAATTAATGATTGAACCCCCACAATACCAAAAATATTTATTGTAAGGATCAAATAAAAAATCTTATAAAGTTTGCAGCTATAAGTTCATAATTCAAAGTTTAAAAGGGAAATAAATTTAGAAATAAAGTTATATTTAAGAAGCTATTATATCTTAACACATTGTGGATGGATCATGAGAATTCTCGCTTCATATTACACAGTGTTTTACAAAGTATCATACTTTAAAAAGATATTAGATTGTAAGAACATTTAAGAAATAACTTCAAAATGCAATGGGTATTTAATTTTAAAGAGTGCCTTTAACATTTATGTAAAACGTTTTTTTGTACTCGTTCAATAGAAACTTATCTGGCCACTGGGTAAGGCTAGCAATAAAACTACTGGTCACAGGATGCAATGTGTTAATATCTTTTTACAAAAGGTCAATAGGTTTATACTTTCCAAAGTTTTTACTATGATTTAAAATCATTTCTTCAGCTGAAGCAAAAGCAAGATATAAAAGAACAAAGTGTACGATATCATTTATGTAAAGTTCAAACACAGCTACCTATGTTGTTCATGGTTAAATTCATAGGAAGTAAAACAATTTTTAAAAAAGAGAGAAAAAAATAAAACAAGAAAAATGTTCCATAGAAGCCAGAGCAATCAATTGCTGCCTTGGGGTAGACATTAATGAATTTGGGCATGTTATTAGGATTTGTGATCAGTAAGGGACACATGGGGAACTTTCTGGGGGGCTGAGAATGTTTTCTTTCCCAGTCTAATGACAGGAATTTCATTTTATAAGTACTCATTTCATTTTATAAGTACGTTTTGGGCACTTTTCTGTATGCATATGTATTTCACATTTTAATAAAAGATTAAAAATAAAATTTGTATTCAGCAAAACTAAAAGAATCTTAACACTAGAAATGGAATACAGAGGAATTTTATCTCTAGGTTAAAATCACAAATGCAGTATGTGATAAAAATTTAAAACTATACTCATTCAAAACAAGTGCAATGGGAATAATCTATGGAACAAAAAATAAATATGCCCATCATAATCCAAAATTCCAAGGGCATTTCACGATTATAAGAAATAATATTTTAGTAGTCTATAATGCTTTTTTGTCATTTCATCTATAAATATTGTTACCTAAAGTTTGTAACACTACTGATATTAATAAAATGTAACCCGTATAAGACACCAGAAAGAACTGTGCTATCACTACTTACTTTAAACTCTATATTCCCCGTGTACATATAACATTTAATATTATCAGAAATAATTTTCAGCATATAGCAAAACAATTTAAGAAATACATATTAGCCCCTGGTAGAGTTTTAACACACTAGAAATTATTTGCATGATTCAAATGTAGAAAAATATTATGAAATCTAACTTGGTTAAATGAAAAAACATGATTGTGTTCTAGCATAGTAAGACCAATTCTACTAAAAATATAAATCTCTCCCCAAATTATACAACATATTTCCAATTATTTTGATAACTTAACAAAATGATTCTAAGTATCATGCAAAATTTTTTTTGAAAATTGAAAAAAATGTAATAAGCTTTACACTATCAGATATTAAGTCAAATCATATGCTGCTCTATTTCCCTCAAATTTCAAAATGGATAATCATTTCTCATACCTATTTGCATATCTTAATGTATTAAGAGTATTTTCACAGGATGCCATTCCTGGAGAGATTGTGGCAATCTATGGGGGAAAAATGCAAAGGTAAATAAGATGTTATAAATGATGAAGACAGTGATACTAATATACAGGGTGGGGCAAATGTAGGTTTACAGTTGTGAGTATATGAAACAGTTTATTCTTGTACTATTATTTATTACTGGAGGCCCGGTGCACGAAATTCATGAACTCGGGGAGGGGAAAGGGCCCTCAGCCCAGCCTGTGCCCTCTCGCAGGAGGCCCATGGGGAGCTGGCCTAAGCTGGCAGTTGGGCATCCTTAGTGCTGCTGTGGAGGTAGGAGAGGCTCCCACCACTGCCACTGTGCTCACCAGCCATGAGCCTGACTTCTGGCTGAGCAGCGCTCCCCCTGTGGGAGTACACGGGCCACCGGGAGGCAGCTCCTGCATTGAGCGTCTGCCCGCTGGTGGTCAGTGCACATCATAGTGACCGGTCATTCTGCTGTTTGGTCAATTTGCATATTAGCCTTTTATTATATAGGATTGTATTATTTTTCATACTAACTGTAAACTTACATTTGCCTCACCCTGTATGTATGTATTAATAATATGTGAACTCCAAGATTACTTGCTATCTTATGCCCACAATCAGATAATAATTATAAACTCTTTTCAAAATATAAACAGGTCTCTGAATGCACCAGAAAGTGATCAAAATCAGGTAGAAAATGGAGGTCAACACCTAGAAGAAGGGAATAACATTGAATGACTTCCCCACTACCCCTCTTTCATAGCTTTATTGCCTAAGAACAAGCCCTGCTGTTGTCACACAGGACAACTAAAACTTCATTAGAAACTTAGAGTTAAGAAACTAAAAAACAAAAGTTAGGAGGTGGGGATCATAGCTGCTGGAAAGTGAAGCTTGTCCCAGAAGAGACAGCTACAGAGGGAGAAACTCAAATTATGCATATAAACTGCCCAGTCACTTTGGAAAGCTTATTTATAACCAAAATTTGTTAAGATCTCTGGCTGACTCCTAACCTAGGTATGCACAATGCTGACTCCAACCACACAGTCGAGTCTAAAAGAGGTAAACAGAGATTTTAATTTTAGTTGCTGCCCACAGCAGGGGAGACAAGAGTTTAGAGTAAGTTCAGCTAAGTTAATTTCCTGCTATACAACAACAAAATAATCAATAATTTTTAGAGGAGTATAACAGAATCCAGAGTGTCTATAAGATATTCATCCATAATAAAAATTACATAATCCAAAATTACTAGAATATGAATAAAAAATGTAACCCATACTCAAGGAAAATAGAACTCAATGGAGACCAACCTCAAGAAGACTCAGATATTAGAATTGTAGAATGCATTATAACTGCACTATAATCCTCTCTATCAGCCTGTCAGGGACCACATCTTAAGTATCCTATCTCTCTCACAACAGAAGGGTTTAAATGATTGTCATTAGTGTATATTATAATTTTTCCACAGATATAATTGTTCATTCGATATTAAAATAAAAGAAATAGCCCTGGCCAGTGTAGCTTGTTGGTTAGAGAATCAGCCTGTGGGTTTGATTTCTGGTCAAGGGCACAGGTACCTGAGATGCAGGTTCAATCCCCAACCCTGGTCAGGGCATGTGAGGCAAACAACCAATAGATATGTCTCTCTCACATCAATATTTCTCTCTCCCCCTCTCTCTTTTCCTCCTGCCTCCTATCTAGCCCCTTCCTTCCATTTTACTCGCTCTAAAAAATCAACGGGAAAAATATCCTCAAGCGAGGATTAACAAAAATAAAACAGAACGAAAAAAACAAATGAACGAATAAAAAAATAATCAAAAGAATCCCATAAACTTACCATACAGGTACGAGAGTTTTCACCTATGAATGAATCTCTTAACACCTGAGTGAGCTTACTTGCTCGGAAAGGAGTATGAGGTTTATTTCTACCTAAGGCTCTGATGCACTCCTGAAAATTAAGAAAGCAAGTTTCAGAGATTAGGTTTCTTATAAAGAGTATTTACCTTAATACGTTTAGAAGTTCTCTTACTATAATTCTAATATTTAAGGTCTGATCAGCTTTGAAAATGCTACTAACAGGTTTACAGCATGGTAAAGATGTTGCCATAAATCCTAATTCAAGAAAGTGAAATAAAAAAACAACCAATGGACTGTTATTTCAAAAAGTTCTTCTGGAGACTATGACTAGTGTTTAGAAGTGACAAGAAGTAACATTATCTATAAAAATAAACTTTTAAAGTGACACTACAAGAGAAAAAACACAATGCTTTCTTGTAGTTTTGCTGATCTTTGCTTTCCTAGTCAAGAAAGAGCTATAATACTGGCCTAACTTTTGGAAAGCAATTCCACATTTTTCTGAGATACTATTTCTTCATTCAGTTTTGTGGGTCCTTGCCCAATTCCACGAAAATATGACTGATTAGGGCCCTTTGGAATCTCTCCAAGAAGCTTTGGGATTGGCCAGCCAACAACAGATTTTTTATGCATCCTAATAATAAGTAATAATGGGTGTAAAGAAAATTTCTGGGTATAATATAAAACGAAATTTTAATATATAAAGGCCCTTTGGAATCTCTCCAAGAAGCTTTGGGATTGGCCAGCCAACAACAGATTTTTTATGCATCCTAATAATAAGTAATAATGGGTGTAAAGAAAATTTCTGGGTATAATATAAATCTGTATCTGCAAATATAAAACGAAATTTTAATAACCTCTCCTACTTATTATTAGACAAAACAAGTACTATTGTTTTGTAGCTGAGTAAATATAATTAAAATAAAAAGTAAAAGACTTTCACAATTAAATACATTTTATTTACCTTGAGTGCTAAAAGGCTTTTATTAATTTCAGCACCTTCAAGCCTAGTTTGCCTATCTGCACTGGAAGTATCAGCTCCTCTTTCATTTCCAGCCAAATCGATGAGAGAAAATTTGCCATGTAGTTTTCCTTTCCTTCTAAGTATAATCTGAAACACTGCATGGCTCCGAGATGAATGTGCATTTGCAGATGTTTGCCCGGATGTTCTACAATTTGATTGAGGACATTTGATACATAAATGCTTTATGTTCAAACCACAGTATTTTCATTAAAAACAAAACAAAAACAACTATCCAGTTTTCATCATTTATTACAAAGGAGACATTGTGAATTAACAATATTTGAACAATTTAATCTGGCATACTTCTAGTACGTTATCTATAGAATAGACATCACTCAGTTACATGTAACAACAAAAGTTTTTATGAATAATGATTTTTACTTCTAAGATGCACTGAATAACATCCTTGCTTTGTTTTTGTTATAACCAAATTATATAAAACTGATTATAAAATTAAGTTTCCCTTTCTTAATTAAAATAAGATTTACCTGCAACTGTTACCTATGTCAATGAGTTTCAGTACATCTTCAACACATTTGACCTCCCGTTCCTGTAATCCTACCACTTGAACCTGCTGTTTTCCATCTTCTAGCACTCTTAATTTTGTTTTCCTGTTTAGCAAGTCGAACACCTAAAAAAAATTTTTTTTCAAGTTGAAAACTAACTTTAAAGAATCAGCTCTATAAAAATTAGTCATTAAAGTCTGAAAACCATTTCAGAAAATAAAATGCTCAATATCTGAGTTGAAAAGTTTCAAAGGGAATTAAAAGAAATCTCAACAAAATTCTAACATAATATTCCAATCCAAATACATATAAAAGTGATGTGGTGGCAATGGCTGCACACTGTAAAATGTACATGCCATTTTTGCACAATGTAAAATGTACATGCCATTGAATTTGTATACTTAAAAATGGTAAAAATAATAAATTTTATGTTATGCATAATTTAATCACAATTTAAAAAACAAATTTTTTTTTTAAGTTTCCACTTACCTTTCCACTATAAATTTCAAAAAAGGTTGCATAAACTTGAAGTTCTAACTTCTTATAGTTTGGCTTCTTTAGCATTAAAAAGACATCTCGAGCTATTAAAAATTTCATATGGAGAAAATTTGTTAAGATGCAACAAACATTATTTTTAAAAAGCATTTCAAATTTTCTATTTTTAGAGGTACCAGTTAATCTTTACTTACAATAATAACATCAATAATAAAAATGAAGTAAACATCAATGTTACAAAAGATAGTTGTAATTGTTTTATTTTTACACTTAAGGTTTAGATGTCACTCTCCTTCATTATTTAATAAAAGGACACTATCTATCCTTATAAAGTTGTTCTCATAACCATTCCGAATGGAAGCTTTTCACAAATCATTATTCAACAACAAATAGTAAGCTCCAACAATGTGACAGATTATAATGATATAAATATAATCAAGATTTCTTCCCCAAATGCAGAGTTCTTTTAAGTAGTCTGATAACCTAAAATTGATATAATACACAGTAAATATAGTATTATAGTTACCCTTTAATTCCTGGACAATATGTCCAAGTCTTATTTCAAAGCCACCTGAATAATATTCAAGAAGAATATTACAAATAATATGCAAAAACAAACAAACAAAAAAACCCTACAAAACATATTTACCTGCTAGTGCATAAATTCCTTTAGAACAATCTTGGTTTTTTCCTGAAAAGTCACCTCCCATAGTCTATATGTTAAAAAGAAAGTAAAGAATAACAGACATTATTCAGGAATGAATCTTAAGAATTTAGGTCTAAGTATTAAGCTACAAGAAAAATAAACTAGCTTCATACCAGGATGTAACTATAATAAATTACTTACATGAGTTTTTCCACTTCCAGTCTGGCCATAAGCAAAGCATGTAGCCATTCCCCTTTCGAATATAGTTTCCACTAGTGGTCTAGCTGTAAACCTTAAAAATAATATGCACCAGTCAGAATGTGCATTCAATATTTAAATTAAGCAAAGAAGAAATAAAAGTAATATAGTCTTAATGTATACCAAGATTTTCAACAAATAAACTAGGCCACAATTGAGTCTAATTGATTTGTTTAAAAATTTAAATAACTATACCCTAGTATTGCTTAAGGCTCTTTAAAGAATAATTTCAAGCAATAATCCTATATAATAAAAGTGTAATATGCAAATCGACCAAAAGGCAGAACGACCCGTCGGTGGGGGGTGGGGCAGGTGAGCAGGCAGTGCCAGGCCAGCCAAGGCGCACGCCAGCGGGCAGACGGAGACAGCGATTATGGGGGGGGGCGGAGGGGGGATTGGGGGGGGGCAGGGCC